GGGCCGGTGGCGCCGCGCCCCCCTAGGGAGCGGTGTGGGCCGGCGCCCCTCGCCCGCCCGCCCCTCCACGATGTTCATCTACCTGTGCAAGAAGGTGCTTCGGGGCACGGAGGGAAGCCGGGGCGGCGGGGGCCCTCGGGGCTCCTTCCCGCTGCGTGCGGCTCTGCTGGCGCTGGTGGTGCGGCCGTGGGCTTGGTCCCTGCCCGGAGTGCTGCCCTGCTCTGTCCTGCCCGCCGCCTCTCGGCCTGGGCTCGGGGCTTGGGGTTTCTTTGGTCTTCAGCTGTCTCCTAACCAACTGCGCCCCCGGGAGGGTTTGGACGTGGCTCTTCAGCTGGAGACCAGCTCCTGGCAAAGCCCCGTGCGCTGCGTGATCCCGCTCGCCTCTTTTGGCGCTCATGGCGCCTTCTCTGCACACCTTTGAAGATGTCCTGTTACTGTTTACTGCATATGTTAGATATCCCTTTTCTCAACTGTTGTGTTGCACAGTTTCACTAGTGCTTGTAATTCTAGTTGTCCTCTGTCTCTTTTTGCATGTACTGATCTGTTGATAGAAGTAAGTTTATCTTGTGTGCTATCATAGGTGTCTTTGAGGTGTTCAAATAGAGCATTTTAAAACATGGTTCTTAGAACTATGTGGAGATACAAAATATTTCTTTTTCAGATTGCAATTCCTGGTAATGTTCGATTAAGATGTATTTCCTGGAATAAGGATCAAGGTTTCATAGCCTGTGGTGGAGAGGATGGATTACTGAAAGTTTTAAAATTAGAAACACAGACAGGTAAATGAGACTTTTTTTTTTTTTAGGAAAAAAATGCACCACGCTGTAGAATTCTGAAAGCATAACTCCTTCCACAAGTTACTTGACAATATTGCATATGTTTTAAATCTGTACATAGATATTTATGTATTTGCATAAACATGAAATGTGCTGTCACTTTCTTTGGAATACTGTTTTCTTCCAGCTTGTCGTACATGGCACACATGTAATTTGTCTATCTGTTATATCTGCCGAAGTTTTCTTCAGTGCTGCTTTCTTTTCAGGACATATGTTTCATTCTTGTTCTTTTTGTACAGG